AAGAAGGGAAAACGGTTTGAATAAAAGTAATACAGTACAGTGTAACACTGTTATATGTACAAATACTTTGTTACTGTACGATATCAATAACAATAATCCACAGCTCCTCTCTGTGCTCCAGAGGATACCATTTTNGATTGCTTTCATATCAGAGATCAGATGAGGTGGAGCTGCCTCCAGCAATAGAGGATCAGGCAGAGAGAAGTAGCAGCAGCACAGGGTTGCAGCAGGTATGTTATATGCTGTAGTCAGGTGATTTAAATGTATCAATGAAAGGAAGAAGTGTAGGCTACATGATAAGAAGGGAATACAGTTTTAATAAAAGTAATACAGTACAGTGTAACACTGTACTTTATTACAAATATATTTATATGTACAAATACTTTGTTACTGTACGATATCAATAACAATAATCCACAGCTCCTCTCTCTGCTCCAGAGGATACATTTTTTTCGGATGCCCCGAATTTTTTTTTCGGGGGGGTACCCGAGCAGCACCCTGCCAAGGCAGTAAACCTAGGGGAAACACTGCATTCATACTGTTTAACATTCATAGAATGAAGAATGTCATGCATAGTGCATAGCACATTGATTTAATTGACTTGTGATATTTTTGTTAATTTGTTTTATTTGTCCAGATGACTTTAGGAGGATTTGAAATCACGCCTCCAGTCACCTTCCGTCTCCAGTCTGGCTCTGGACCAGTTCACATCAGCGGGCAGCATTTTGTTAGTGAGTATCATGTGTACAGTAATATGCTATTTCCTTTACCTCTTCTAGAATAACAGACATATAGGAACAAAATATAACTCTCACAACATTTCCTCACATTGTTAAAATGTACCTCTTCACACAGTGTCTGTCTAATGTAGCAGGTTGGCTCCACATACATTCACACTGAAGTTAAAGGTAGGGTAGGTAAGAATGGAGAAACCAGCTCGAGTGCACTAGAATTTGAAACTACGCAGCCGAAAAAAATCTGCCCCTTCCTTCAGACTTCCTTACAGAGCCCCTCCTCCAACACTACAAAACTGATTTTGACAATTTTTGCCAGGTCTGAAGGTCTCTAAAAAAGAAAGTGTATCATTTGGTGTTCGGGTCTGGGGAGACCCACCAGAATTGTTTTGGGTCACTCGGGGTCAAATTTGGCCCAATCAAGATTCATCTTTGACTTTAGACTCCCCTCCCCCTTCATCAACTGTAACAATAATTTTTCCCAACATGCACCTGGTCTCCCCTCCCTCTGCCCCCCTCCCCCCACGGGAACTCCACCTTTCTCAAAGAATATGTACACTAACACTTGAACCTGAACACACACATGCACGTGTGCACTATGTGGTGTAATGTGTTTTGGGGCCATAACATTAAATTACAACAGGATTGTACGGTTATGAATGCATAATAAGTTAGTTATGATGTAGTTAAAACAATATTGGATGATAGTCTTTTTTTTTGTGTGTGTTTTGGACTGAGATAAATCATGGGTTAAAATTGACCCGCGAACACCATGAACGGTAACAGCTTTCGAACACAACACAAGGGTTAAGGAATGAGCTGCCAAACCATTTGGAGAGTTGTGTTGTAGGCTGTTGTGTTTCTTAAAGCAGATTCAAGTATCAGGCGTAATTTACCTACATTTGATTGATTTTGCTAACTCACTTTATGAGGCAGTATACCTCTAGTGCGCGGCCCAGCCCTTCCTATGTTTTTCTGTATGTGGCCCTCAGTGAAAAAAGTGTGGACCCCCCTGGTCTAGGTAAATCAGAAAGTGTCTCTATGCCGTGCTGTAACCAGTGTTTGCCTCGTAGGTGTGAAGGATTCAGACGATGAAGAAGAGGAGAACAACTCGTCACCTGTGAAGCGGCCTGCAAGCCTGATGTCGGGGAAGAAGCCTCCTTTGGTAGCTACCTCAGTGTGTTTACGTACTGCTTCAACACTCAGGGAAAGTTACCCCAAAGAAAAAGCTTTAGGTTTAGTCAATCATTTAAAAAACTTTATTTTAAAGGTAGGGTAGGTAAGAATGGAGAAACCAGCTCAAGTGCGCTAGAATTTGACGAGATAAAAAGCTGTCAATAGGTGCGTTCACACCGCAGTACTTTTCCCACTTTAGTTCCGATATAGTTCCGAAATGTCGCGTTCACACCAAAAAAATCCGGAACTAAAATTAGTTCATGAGAACCTTTTCACCCCCTTTTCAGTCCCTGCAAGAGAGCAGGTACTTTCGTGGGAGAAAAAGGTTCCTATGTCTGATTGGCTGGGCGGATTGCAAACCACGCCCCGTAAAACTCCCAAAAAGGTTTTGTAAAGCCGCCATTTTATTATCCTTGCATTAGCATTATTAGCATTAGCCCAGCGTAGAAACGCAGAGAGACTAACTTATGGCAACACAAAAGAAAACATGGGAGCGGTGGAGATGAGGAGGTGTCGAGATGGGGAGGCGATTTTCAGTAGAAGCTGCTGGGAGTCCCAGCAGCTTCTACTGAAGCCAGTCCCCAACTCTGGGGACTTCCGGCCGGGGACTTCGGGTGGCAGTATACGGCGTGAAGTGGTTTGCGGCCTGCCAGTGAACCCAAAGCAGAAGAAGTGATTGGCTTCATTTGCCTAATCCTTCCACAGGAACTTATTCCGGTGTGAACGCGATATGTACTTAGTTCATGAGAACTAAAGAGTTCTCATGAACTAAGTTCTGATGAACCTTTGTGGGAAAAGTACTGCGGTGTGAAAGTGCCTAATATTGAGAAGAGGGTTGTAGTTACTTAAAGGTTGTTTTGTGCAAAACTGTTATTATTTTCAAGATGATGAAATTATTATTTCTGCTTCTAGAAAAAACTGAAGATGGATTCGGACGACGATGACGACAGCGACGATGACGAGTATGTTTTTATGCTTAATTTCACTGTGTATGCCTATTTTTCTTTGTTTGTGCAGAGACAACTTGGATTGTTTTTCACCTTTTGTATTTTCATTATCTTTAGTGAAGACGATGACAGCGATGAAAATGATGTGACGCCTCAAAAGAATGTTGGAAAAGAGCTCAAAAAAGTAAGCTAATCTATTTTTTTTGTTTAAGAAAAAAAGATGTGAGGCGCAACATTTGGTGCCATGTCAAGAAAGCCTCTCTGAATAAAATGAGTCTGAATTAAAGCTCCTTTTCAGTTACTTCTTTATCACGATCATCATGTTTGTACACAATAGGATATCTTTTTTTTGGGATACAGCAGGGGCGAATCTACGGGGGGGGGCAAGCGGGGGAAGCTGCCCCCCCCACTGTAGAGCCTTTCCCCCCCAGCTATCCCCCTAACTTGTGTCCCTAAAACTGTACTTGTAGAAACAAACCTACACTATGTCCAAAAGCTTCTCAAGCAACAAAACAAGCAGTTCTTTAATTAAAAGTGAATCATTTTAAATATCATCTTAGGCCCGTTAAAAACGCAGCTACGGCCCTGCATTAAACTGCGGAGCGGCGTTCACAGACCGGCTCACACCGCTGCAGCGAGGGAGCGAGCTGTACCAGCACCTGAAGGTGGATCAGCTTCCCCTGGGAGCATTTCTCCTTCCACTAGTTTTGTTTTTACAAAGGGCGAGAGCTTGAAAAAAGATATTAATAAAACGTTGCCGTTTGAATCGATAGCGTTTAACAGACAGTCGCTGTTTGGGGCGTTACGGTACAAAATACTACGCAGACAGCGCTAGCTGGGAGATCGATCAGTTTATTTGCTAAACTGTACGGTACTATTAAATCCACGTAAATTACAAATCACAGCAATGAGGCCAGATAAATTAAACCCGGATACATCCTTTACCGTCAAACTGGATCTAAACGCAGCTGCCCGTGTGCGTTTGATAAATACTTTCTGATGTTATATTTATTATATGCTATGCTACTTATTAGCTACATGGCCCTAACGCGTAAAGTTATACAAGCATTTGTACCAGTGCTTTTCACACGTAGACTCTTGCAGGCCAGAGTAGCTGAAGTGAGTTAACAACAACAAAAATACATATCTTAGAAGTGATCAGGAAGAACAGAAAGAGGAAAAGAGAGTTGACTGAAGAGACCAGGAGGGTCAGAGCAGGAGGAAGCCAGGAGGAGATGAAGAGACCAGGAGGGTCAGAGCAGGAGGAAGAGGAGGAGATGAAGAGACCAGGAGGGTCAGAGCAGGAGGAAGAGGAGGAGATGAAGACATTGCTGAAGAAGAAGAAATGTATGTGAGGAATAAAGATGAAGTGTCAGAAAGAGGGACAGAGGCAGGGATCAGGAGGCAGATGAAAATCCAGCATGGATATGCTTTTATTCTCCCTGCATTCATATTCCATTACAGCAGCACAATCTAGCGGCTCTTATATTGACACATATGTATTGAAATGTGTTGCTGCACAGGTCACCTTTAGCTCTCTGAAGAGATGGGTGATGTCATTTGTGTACTTAATTATAACGAAGTACTTTTACTGTACTTACAGTAAACAGAATTATAGGGTATCATGAGCACTTTCTGCTGTTTTATACTATGTTTTTGTTTGTTTGTCTGAACACCTTGTTTCTCTTGTGCATTAAGAACACTTGTGTTAGGGCATGATTTAACAATAAATAGGTTATACAGTATAAAATACCACGTACGGTCCGCCCTACATGCCACCCTGGCATGACCTCTTGCCCCCCTTTGCCACCCCATGTAAAATGTTCTAGAACCGCCACTGCATGTAAGTGACTTTATTTGAGCATTATCTGATCTGAAATAAGTTATGCTTGGAATTATTTTATCAAAGCTGCTATTCAATATCCATTTCACATGAGTGACAGCCCTGTAGAAGCAGTATCATTTACACTACAACACTGGCTAGTATTCGTTCTTTGTGTAGCTCATCCTAGCTGTCAAAAAAATGACTGTTAGACACAGACTACCATGATGGAGGAGTCAGTCTATGCCTTTTAGCTGTACTAAAATGGATAACCATTTTAAACCCTCACAGGTTTCTGCAGAGCCTTTAGGCTGCACTTCAAGTCAGCTCACTGCAGCTGATCTGAAACTACAATTTGAACCTCTAATACTTCTTTTTGGCAAAACTACACACACATATAGGTAAGAAGACATAGTCATTACATTAAGCTATATAAAAACCTGAGTCGTACACTCAACATGTAGGCGGCATATTGAATGTCCTCAGCAGAGCTTTTTCCCTTCCTTTTTACTATTTTTTTTACCGTCAGGGTGATAGCGAGGCAGGCTGATGAAGCCAGGAGGCTGATTAGGAGCCTGAAAATGATGTTGCTCCTCCATTGCTGTGAAGCTCAAAGAAGATTCTGAAAAAGGCCCGTGGATATAGATTCAGAAGCGAGAGGAAAGCGAGTTATGTGAGAAAGAGGGAATGAGAGAAAAGGCCGGAGCCAGAGAGAATACAGAGATGAAGAGGAAAAGAGGAAGAGTACAAAGAGAGTAAGAGCGAGGCCACTGACAGACACAGAAAAGACGGGATGCAGCCGCTGCCTCCATTATCTTCTGATACATTTTTTATAAACCTCTGGAATTTAGGAAATTCATTTCAAACTTTTACCCTGTGGGGCCACGCTAAACGGTGTCTCAGCAGCAGAGGGAGGAGCGAGGCAATTCCTCTTTTCCTAACATCCATATCTAACTGTGGAGAAAAGCAATCATTGTCTCTGTACTGTGAAGCAGAGCTGCAGAGTAACAGCTTTCATTAAAGGGCAGTTCAGTAATCACTGCAGCCATAAATGCTCAGTTACCTATTCTCAAGTAAAGGTTTCTAACTCATTCAAGGGGGCAAGTCATTCTGTTAGTTTTGTATAGTGTCAGCTAAATGAAATTCAATATATACAGATGAATAATGAATGTATAAAAGTGTTATAGTGCTGTGGCAGAAATAAAGCTTTTTTTTTATAGTCAAGCTTTATTGAAAAACCTTTTGATAATAAAACACTTTGGAAATTGATTTGATAATCTTGGAGATATGAATATATTAAAAGAGAATATATTTTTCAAGTCCAAAGCTGAGCACTTATTGCCACAGTTTTCTGCATAGCTCTGATATAGGCTGTGCATTTTAAATAACTAAAGGATATATCACACTTATGTCCTGGTTCATATTTGTATTTAGTACCTAGAGGCACAGTGGAACAGTAGAGTAGAGTTAGTAGTAGTAGTGGTCGAGCTACTGTGACATGTTTACATACTTTAATGTTCAAAGTATCTATCTAGTATTTATCTCATACTGCCTGTGCTGCTGCACCTCTTTTCACCCTCTGTCTGAAACCAGAGCTCAGTCTCCTTTCTTAAATTAGCTGACTGGGTCTGTTGTGATTCGTCATCCACCTAGAGATGTTCCGCCTCTTAGCAAATCACATACAATGTGTTAGAGCACTAGCCAATAGAAGCATGAGTGTTAGTGATGTCACTATGTTACATAAGAAAACAAAGGAGTCCAACGGAGGAGTTTCAGGCAGGTGGGGGGGGGGGGGGGGAGAAAATCCCACACAAGGGAACTTTGGGATTTTAGCCTCTGCAGACCATTTTCATGCACAAAAACCTACATAACACACTACAGGAAAGGGAATCCCCCAAAAGCATAATTTGGTCCCTTTAAAGTTAAAAAGAGCAGCAGTGCAGAATACAAAACGTTGAGCTAGAGTGATCTCTGCAGAACAAGATGCTCTGACACACTTCACATTAAGTTAATCTCTTCATCTAGTTCATTTTCATGAATGAGGCTTTAAACAAAACTCATTGGTATGGAAATTATCATGAAGCAACAACCTTCATTTCTGGAAAAGTCTAGAAGTTTTCCGAAATGTCCTTTTTAAGATTCTGTAGAAAAGTAACAATCTAATAGCAACATAATAATAAATGAGAATTAGGTACATCTAAAAACTCTAGTGGGTTAGCTGCATCCATGCCCTGTTGCTTTTCAGAGAGAGCTAATTAAGATTTATATTGCTGTTTGCTCTCTCTTTACCCCGCTGCCTTTATCTCAGCCATTTATTTTATCTCCCACACACTGTGACCCTCTCTCTGTCTGTGGCCAACTCTCATTGAGCATCAAGAACAGAGAGGTGTTTGTTTCTCGTTAGCTGTTGGGTTCATCCTCCCGGGGGACTCAGCTGTTTTGTAGCGAAGCAGGACACATGATTGGAGTTGGCATGGCAGCGCTGCCAGGGGCACTGTGCCTCCAGCATCACAGACCTGTCCCTACACTGAGGGAAGTGACGGTGGCCAAAACAGCTCAACGTTTTTACCTAAAAGTTCCCCTGGCATTAATTTAAATAATCATCTCTTCTTATGCCCATCTGACATTCTATTCTGTTTGTATTATGTTGTGTAAACCCCACACACGAGGGCTAACATGTCCTCTTAGCCTGTGTCCTCTCTGTATTTCCTCTTTTCTCCTCTTACCCCAGGGGCCAGTTGTTGGCATGACAGTGCTTTTCTGCAAGGTTCAGCACCAACCCACCTGCTCATAATTATTTAACACCACAGTTTGACAAAGCTGGAAATAGTCATAGCCCCAGAAACATCTAAAATGCATTTGTGCTTATACAAGTCCAGAGAACGTTATAAATGGACTTTGTTTTATATAACATCAATAAACAGGAACTACCTTCCTCTGCTTTTCTTTCCTTTTCTTCTTCTTTTTTTAACGAGGTAAAAGTCCCATGGAGATTGCATTCATTCTCAAGAGAGAATGTCGTATTTAAACTCAACACTGTCAAGACAATAACAACAATGTAAATGATCCAAGTTATTTTGTGTAAAATGTAGAAGGCAAACAGTGCAGAGAGATACTGAAGAGACTGCACAGAACAAAACATTAGTTAAAAGAGTTTCGGCTCACAACAGTACTCCTTATATGAATAGGAATGACCTTGTTTTTTATATTAAATGCAACTGCTGCTCATTTGAAAAAAAAGTACATTTAAAAATAATTTGAAGAGCTTGCGACCTTCATGCAAAACACACCACACACTCTAAAAACGAATTCAGGCGACCTTTCACCTCCACTTAATTAAATGCATGGTTGCAAGATAAAAATGTGAGTTAATTGATTCAGATAAACATTTTAAGTTGCAAACATTAATTTATAAGTTGTGTTGACGTAATAATGTTGGTAATTACAACGTAATATTGTGTTTAATTTGAACTCTGATTTCTGCGTTAATTGACTTAAAACAAAATTCAAGTTGTAGTAAGTAATGCAATTGGCTTGATAACTTCATTGTTCTACACCTTGATTTAAGGATTTCAAGTCCACTCCTACTTAACATGCCTGGACAAGTTCCGACAGTTAAGACAAATAGAAATATACAAAGCACATTTTAAGGTGAATGTCATCTTTTGTCATTCAAATACAGTAGCCTTGTAGTTGCACTGTATAGGCAAATTGCTGTTTGACCAAAATTAGCATCCTTTGAACTGTGAATAGTTATGTGAGAGGGTACAAAGTAGTAGAGGCTGCGGTGAGAGTAAAAATTACTTTGGGTTTTACTAATTGTGATATCGCTTTTTATTAAAAAATAATCTGGTGAAAACGCAAGATCCAAGGACATGCTCTTTGAAGGCAGGAATCGTTATTTAACAGTTGTGCATTGAAATTCAAGTTGTTGCATCAACCCATTCAGATATATTAATTTAGGTCCATTTCTCTTTTTTTTTCCTTTTTTCAAAAATCACATACAATTGAAGTACACAGAGAACTATAAAAAAAAAGGAGCCAGTCCGCGTGCCTATTGTCGTGTACCTGGGAAAAGGAGAGGACCTTTTCAAGGAGTTTTTAGCGACGTAATTCAAACNATTTCCTCAATTTGCTATTGCTGTCAACCACTCATGGATGATGAACACAGTCAGCAATGCAACTTGTAAAAGCCTTAGCCTTTGGTATTTCTTAATCCTGGCCAATAAGAGCTCATTGTAGGTTTTGGAAAGTTGCAATTACAGTAACTCCAAATTCCTATATCATAAAAAAGGTGTGAAAAAGGGGGAAGGGGTTTTATACTGCTTAGTGATCTGACAAGGATATAATTTAACCCACCATAGCACCAGGAGTCTAGTACTAGGAGCAGTGGGCAGCTATTGCACAGCGCCCGGGGAGCAATGGGAGTGAGGGGGGAAGGGGGGTGTCCGGTGCCTTGCTCAAGGGCACCACGGCAGGGCAGGAGGTGAACTGGGACCTCTCCAAGTAGCAGTCCACACTTCATACTTTAGGTCTGGTCGGGGACTTGAACCGACAGCTCCCAGTCCAAGCCTGACTGACCGAGCCACTGCCGGATGTTGTGTTACTTCAAAGAGTCCAGACTATGATTGGGAGTAGCAATGAAATTCAAATAAAATACAAAAGGCACGTAACAGGGTATAGACAACACCAAATAATTCAAAGAGAATAGTTTGAATAAAGTCAAATAGACTTGAATGGAATTCGTTTTTTGTGATTTTATTTTTTTCCTTTTTATGATTATGAAGAAAGAAATCTCCTTTTTATAATATTTTGAAATGTTTGGGGACTTCTTTTCTTGCATCACTGTTAAAACCAAACTAAATGTATTTTTCAGGTTACCAAACTTTTATTATTACACTAGAATAATCCTACTTAGTGTTTTCCAGTCCCCTGCCGTCCACCAGGTGTCAGGGCGCTCCTTCAGTTTTGTTTTTGTGGTAAAGGAATTCCTCCACCCGGCCCGCTCCCCTTTTTTGTTTCTACCAACATCACTTAAACTCCCACAGACTGAATCCTATAGTGGCATTTCGTTTCAGGCCCTTCCCATCCGTGCACTCGCTGACCGTCCACCTCTCCGTACGAGACACAACATGGAACTTTTTCATCCTGTTCCCTCATGTACCCACCTGTTTTCCACGAGTAAAACACAGGGTCTGTGTGGCGTAATGATCGGATTTCTTCTCTGTAATCTGCTTAAATTCTCACCGTCTCACAAACAAGACGGCACTATGTTATCCTATTCACACACACGCACACACATGCATGCAAACACACTCAAAAGTATGTATACTGTAGCCATGCACACTTACTGTAAATCTAAGTACCGTACAAATGCAAACATTATTAAAACATATCTACAGTATTCATGCAGGGAAACACACACACACACACACACAGACAGACAGACAGACAGACAGACAGACAGACAGACAGACAGACAGACAGACAGACAGACAGACAGACAGACAGACAGACCAGTTATGGGAAACATCTTCCCCCATTTGTTTCAGTCCCTCTGCATATCTTTGTCCCTCTGTCATCCCACTGTTAATATGATTGCTTCTTTTTATCGTCTCTCATGCCATTTCAGCTTTGCACCTGGCCTTTGCCTTTGAACACTTGTTTTGCGTGTTACCACAACTGTTTGCAAGTGTGTCGGTGCATGTGTGTATCGGCCTCGTTTTTTTACCTCGGTGTCTGTTTGTGATTTCTTTTTTTTTTTTTTGCAAACTGTGCCAGCCAAAAAAGATCAAAGCGGGGCAGATGCGCATACCTGCGACGTGAGCGCGATCCTCGCCTGAGGGTCAGATGACAGCTGAGCATTTCTGTCACCTGTTGATTTATTCTGTTGTCTTCTCCTCCGATACATCCACCTCCATGACCTTAATCCTTTCCTTTACCCTCCTTCTCGTTTGCTCCATAGTTAACCTGTCTCAGTCTTTACTAATGGAAGCACTAAACTTTAGAAAGTTGGGCTGGGAAGATCTTTTTACAGCTATTTCAGTAATATGTTACATATTTGATTTAATCTTTTTTAGAATGTACCTTTTCTTGTTTTAACAAACTTCATCACTGTTTTTTACGAAAGAGGATTGTGGCCTCGTTCGACATTTTTGATTGACAAGTGATTTTTTACGAGCTCTTACTTTAAAGTCCGAATTCTGAAATGTTCTGAATTAAATATTTTTTCCCAGAATTCTGACTTTAATGAAAAAAGCAGCCAGTAATGACATAACATTTACTGTAAACATTGATATGTCACAGTGTCCTTTTAAAACATGTCCATAGAGTTGTTTATGGACAGTTGGCATCACAGTCGTCCAAGTTTAAATCTGATTTATTTGTTCTTTGATCATATATATTTGATCCAAACAGGACTCAGCTGAAGTCTTCCTGTGTTTTTCCTCGCATGGTTTTGATGTTTTGTTCTGTGCAGCGCAAACACGTTTTATAAAGTTGAATACTTTGTTGTTCTGGTTGGACCACATTGTGTTAAAATTGAATAGCCTGAGGTGTATGGTGCCTTGTATTTAGATGTCTGAGTTGGAATTTGACAGCTTTGCCATGACAAGTAAATCTGACATTATTATTTGAGACAATTATCATAATTTGTGCGAGTGTTGGCACTCAGAACACAACAGAGAAAGAGGATGTAACTTCAGGGCCCCAGCCTATAAGTCTTGTATAGCATTACCAAGATGAATCCAAACAAAAGGCCTCCATTGGTATTAACATGTCTTAAATCAATCATTCAAAAGTCTTAAAGAACATTAGACACAGGGAGTCAAATTATATTAATCATTTTTTCCCCTTTGACATGATTGTCGTCGGCCCTTTGTGTTTAAATATGAAAAAAAAGCGTTGCAACCGCCCTGAAACTGCCTCACAGCATCTTGTATTACCAGGCATTGCTCAAGGAAATAACATGTGTAATTGCCTTGTAGCAGTTATGTCAACACAGGCAATTACACAGCTAGCCCATTCCAAGGAGAGGGTTGGTGCTCGGTAAATGCGGGTACTTGCCTCGGCTATTACAAGGTAATTACACAGGTGACTGAGAGCAATGGAAACCTGACAGGAAGGCCTCCAGTGTGGAGAGCAACAATGATAAGTTATCGGGGGACAAGTGTCCGATCAGTGACAAATTACTGAGTGTTTCTAGTGCTTCGTAAGCCATTTCATCAAAACGGCTGGGAGATGATTTCATTCCATATCAATTCAATTTTGTTGTCAGTTTTAATGGACACACTTTCTTTTCACAATAACTTCTTAACATTGGAACTGCCACTACTCCTTTAGCTTTTAGTGTGACATCATGTTGTCTAGTTTTTGTTGTTGTAGAATATACACTTTTGTGCACATGGGTAAAACGGCTTTTAACATTAGCCAGCATGTGCAGCATTGAAATGATTACAATCATAAAATGGTTGAGTGAAAATGACATGAACAGCTCATGGCAATCGAGTCAAGAAAAATAACCACAATTGCAAACACTTCTACAAATGTGGTTCCCGTTATGTTACAAGCTAATTATAATTTGTCAGCTGTAAAACAGGCTTGACAATTAGAACTGTGATATGGGAGTTTTCAAAACAACATGACACGACTACCAGAGCACCAAATGTATTTTAATACAATATATTAGGAGAAAACTGTGGGAAGAAACCACTGTCACAGCTTGAAGCAAAACAACAGGGATATGATGGATATAAATATGATTAAATACTGTAATTGGCCAGCAATCTGACCTGAAGTACCTCAGTATTTGTAAGTTAGTTAAAAGTTAGTCAGCATACTTTTTTATAGAGGGTTAGTTACATTTACAGCTGCTTTGACGTCTGTATGATTCCCTCCTTCGGTTATCTCACGTTCAATTTTCTGTGAATAACTAAGCATACATTTTTATATATTTAATTACATTTATTTGTATGAGGTTTTCATTAAAGCAAAATGGTGAATTCAGCTGTTTCCTCAAAATATAATGATGTCATACTGGTGATATTTTATTTATATATTTGTTGTGTTTCTTTTACTTTTTTCAGAGCCCAGAGTTTTCAGCAAAGAAGCCCAACAAGACTCCGGTGAAACAAAACGGCCCCGCAGGAAAACCATCAGGATCAGCGGTCAAACCTCAAGTTAAGGTAAGAAAAGCTGTTTTAACTTCTCAGCTTTGTTTCCTCGTGGTTATTTCGTTTATTTAGTTGACAGTCATTAAACTGTAGAGAAAGGGTCAGCTACTGTGGTCAGCTACTGTGGTCAGCTACTGTGGTCAGCTTATGGCGCATTTCCACTACAGCGCGGTTTAAGCATGCCGTGCCGTGCCCGGCCCGTTTTTGGTTGCGTTTCCACTAGGCGTAGTTCCGGCTAGTGGGTACTTTTTCACAGTTTTCTTGCTCTCCAAAATTGAGGTTCTTTCCGGGCCAACAACCGGGCTGAGTATGCTAAACTAGTGAGAGAATCGCTGGCAACTACAACAAAAACATATTTTACCGTGATTTAATTGTAATACACGTTTAAAAATGATGCCGAAGTAACAACATACTGATACCGGTTAGTAAAAACCATGAATGAATGCTTTGACAAGTCTGCAGACCGTCGGCAGGCGAAACACCTTTTAAAATGCGTGTTTTCTGAATGGAGATCGGCCAAGCTAACGTTGAATATGCTCCGACCGTCCACGCTCACAACAACGACCTATACAGACATAAATAAAACAGCTACTGTATTCGCCATGACACAGACAGTCTGTGGTTTGTACTTGTTTAACTTTTGTCTAGTTTCTGAACAGATATGAGGAGCTGTGAGCTTCTGAGGGCTAAAAGCTAACGGCTGATGTTTTGGTTTTGTGGTTCGCATCGAAGATGACAGTTTTATGCAGCGTCCCCCCGCCCTCCGAACAGCCGATCGCCCCGCCTACACTGCGTTACTATAGTTACTACCCCAGGTACTAAACTGTAATGGAAACGCAGTATAAAGTGAGCCTTAGAAGTATACGGTAGACTCAGACTCAAACCTCAGCACCTTAACTCAAAGGTACGAGTCACAAGTGGGGAACTGTGATAATAATCGCAGCATCTGTGAAAAGACGAAATCTCAAATAAACATAAATTTTTTTTGTGTGGTTTTGCAAAAATTAACTTTTACACGTGATTTTAACACGTTACATAAAAGAACGTCCGCAATGTACCCCTTTCGTTTGTGTCTCGTCTTCATAAAGTAAAATAGTCTTGTTTGTTAAATACCGTAACTTTGTATTGTAATGAAACTTTTGGTACATAGACTTAAAGAAACGAGGGCTTAAATGGATACACTTTATTGTTTTGTTAATTTCAATTTTTATAAACTTACCATTGTTAAAAGCCACAAATTTTAAGCTGCAGTTTTTACATATACGGTCGTTAGTAGGCCCGGGGATCGGGTCTGTCCTGTTCGTTAGTTCTAAACAAATTGAACTTACAATGTAAAAATAAAAGGTGTAATGCCATGTTAAACCTTCCCCCGGTTTTGTTAAGTGTATTTTTTATAATTTAATAAAAAGTTTCAGTTAGATAAAAGTTTACGGTATTTAAACCACAGACTAGATTTATCTTTATGAAGACAGAGAACAAACGAAGATGGAATTGACAAATTTTAAAATGGTGTCCTCACAGGTTTGAAAAAAACGTGGGACTCCCGGTGTATGGTCTTTTTTCTCGGCGTCCCGACCCGGTTCCAAATAACCGGAGGTATTCATTCAATATTCTGTTTTACGATACTTTACATCCATTTTACTACGACTATGCACTACTACGAAATTCGCGCTTTTCTTTGTTCGGCATGTAGTGTCGAGAGGTCTCCCAAACTGAAAAAGGAACCGTACGTTCCGAGTAAGGACCAAGGACGAATAGCCCTTGTATTCAATACCCGAAAAAGAATTTAGTTGATGTCTAAAACTAACGTTTTACAAAAGTGGAAATTAACTGACTTAAATAATCTTTCAACCCGGAATCCCAATTCCAATTCGTCGCACTTAATTGTCGTACTCTAGTTTGTTCGACAATCATATAAACATATATGAATATAGATTCTCATGTTATATTTGTCGTTGTTCAAGACCACACCCGGGGCCATAATGTAATATTGAGAAATCTTAATCCCTACGCCCGGCGTTAATTTTCACCCGGTGCCCGGCCGTAAAACGGGGTGTCGCCGGCACCAAACCTTACCTGTAGGGACCAAATTTAGGACAAATTTTCACCTGTCAAAGTGTAGACAAGTGGTTTTTTACATGTTCCAAAAGGTACAGGTACGAGAAATGACGAAAAGGAAAGGCCCCTCAACACTAGTGTATATATACATTCGTTGTAATATCGCAGAGATTATTCGATAAAGAGTTTAACGGTTTATACGACAAGTAGATTTTCTGTCAATTTTAATCAAATTTACGATTTTACGGTCTCAAGGACAAACAGAGACTAAATAATTAGTATACTCAACCCTATCACTTACCATAAACCCAAAACCTTACTCGTGTTGTGTTAAATTTCTCGACAGTGGAACCTCACCCTTACCTGGTACAAGGTGTAAAGAAATTGTTAAAGTATCTGGATTTAATAAATAATTTAATTAGATCTTTCAATTAGTCCGCGCGTCTAGGTATTAGTTATAATTAACCATCAACCGTCGGATCTATAGCGGACTTTAACCAAATACAGTGTAATAACAAACAAAATTAGACTTCTGCGTTCGAAGGTGACGTGGACATTTGGCCACAAACGACTCTTTCGGACCGGAGAATAGCCCGCCGTAAAGCGTGACGTCCCGGAGCGCGGCCGAATCATCCCGCCACATCAATCCGGA